ATCCAAGGATCTTTTTAAAAAACGAACTTAATTCTGATAAGTGAATAAAGAAAACACATTCGAAATCAATAAAGGTGTTTCACTTAAAAACAGGTTGATTATTATTTGTATTTGGAAATTTATTATAGCTAAACATTTATTATTACTATATATTTATTACATTTAAAGAGTGAAAGAACATTTGGATAATTAGATGTACTTATTTTTTTACAATAGCAGCCATTTTTTTACATTTGAAACTTAGCAGAACAGTGGATTTGTTGCCAATATAGGGAAATTAAGCTTCTCAACAACAAAGTAACGTCTTCTTTTATTATTGCCAATTAAATTATGCTTAATCCATTCTGGAATTATTAAATTATCCCATATATTGACTCAGCGTCCACAACAAATTAAGTCAGTTTCTACGTCTTCAGTGGCTTTTTGCCGAGTGAGACCAAAAGTAAACTTTCAGCTTTGTGCTCCGAAAAATTTGTCTTCTTGCCCGCTAGCCGAATTACTTGTTTTTGCATAGAGACTGTAATTTTAATTGTAAAAAAGAATTTAAATTTTTTAAACTCTATTTGGTGTTTTATGCTTTCTATATTTTTCGATTTTTAATATAGATATTTTAAGTTTTTATGTATTTTTGCTTTGTCGCGAAGTCATAACTGAATTAATTGAATGAGAAATATATCTCTAATGAAATTCAAGGATATAAATTTAAATGAAAGGCAGGAAAAATTGCGTATAATTTAATATTCCGTACAAAGGAAGTTATGTGGTGTATACATCAGATTTTTTTAGTTCTAAAATAATACAGAGTACGCAAGTGACTTATTATTAGCTCAAATTCATGAAACTAAATTTCATTGAAAAGAAACAAAGAAACGCTTTTTAATCTTTTCTGACTATTGTTTCTGTATATAACAGACAGATAACTCAGAATAGAAAGCGTTTTATTTACGTTAAAATTAGGAAAGGCTTGATAGTTTTATATTTACTTATTCAACACATAGCAGCAAAGCAATTCTACAATAAACCATTATAATTCAGAGAATGCAATAAATAGTCTCACCTGTACAACCGGAAATGGCAGGAGAGTGAATACAAAATAGATCAAAAGGGCTAGCTTCTCAGAAACAGACATGGCTGCAGCTGGCTCCTTAAGAAAGAAATCTATGCATATGCTCACAGATATGAATAAAATATATTTTCTCTTCCCAATACGATGTCATACATAAGATACAATTTATAATAACTTAAGTTTTTATATGCCCTTCGATGTTTCCTTTTCTTTTTTTTAATAACTAGATTTAGAATCAGTTTTTGAAGTTCTTTCTAAGGGCCGCCACTTTAAATTAATTCAGTGTGAACAACCAGACCTGAGGAGGGAAAACATAAAATTCTGCCTCATTAAAATAAAAAGTTAGACTGAGATTGGAAAAGCAAACTGCATCAAATTTCGTAGATAAGAGAGAAAAGGTTATATTTAAATGTCAATAATTTTTAAATTGTTTTAACTAGGAGCTTCGGAAATAAATATGACATTTCAAAGTTGAAAGCTAGTGTTCCTTGTTCCTTAGTTAGTACAGCACTGGAGTACCAGGTTATTAAGTCCTATGTTCCTCCAGAATTTCCATTCGAATATATTACTAACGAATTTTTAAATGATGTAAATAATATTGCAATAAAAATAAATAAATTACATCTTCAGAGTTAAGTATCCTTACGAAAAACAGGATAATGCCGAGTTGGTGGAAAAAAATGTCGAGCTATTAACTGAATGGGTGAGAGCGAAAAATGCAGGTAAAACATATAAGGCAAAAATGCAGGTAAACATATAAGGCAATACGAATAGCAATAAAACACCGTAGTTAAAATGTGCAGCTACGTTAAGGAATTACATGCAAAAAAACTAACCGCAAAAAAATTAACTGCAAAAAAATAGAGGAATGACACTATGAAAGGAATTAATATTATAGGGGAATAAATCGTTAATTAAACATTTCTTCGAAAATGTTAAGGAGTGAGAATGATATTAAATAATGTCTGTAAAATCGGGGGGGGGCGGGCATTGCAAATTTCATCCAATAAGCCTGTTATTTTTCTAATTACATTAAATATGGAACATCCAGTATAATTTCCTTAAAAATTTTTAGAAATCACCAAAAGCTCCAGAGATATTTCTGAGTGGATTTTTAAGGAATATCCTTGAAAATTCGATGTCTAAGTAGGAAATAAAACCAATTTAATAAAAGTATTATCAAATCAATATAAGCATGAAAGCTTTAGAAAGGTTCTACCAAAATGTACTTTTCCGATTTAGAAATTAAGGATAATTTTGTAGCAAATACATTAGCAAATAATAAAAAAGTCCTCGAAAGTATCTTCTCTCCCTATAGAACAGACAAACAGAACATAAGCTAACAGTTCTGAAAGGAACTTCCTTATAATAAAATAAACAGATACTGTAATGAACAGAAAGCTAGCAAAAATATTAAGAGTTTTCTCACTTTAAAACGAGCGGATAGTAAATATTCTGATTAAAATTAAACATTGGTGAGAAAGTGAAAAATGTTTACAATCAATTGTTAGTAATAAAAGTAAATACAGCATACGCAGTAGAGCCATCTACAAGTATACCAATTTCAATCCAGCTATCCAGTTAGGCAGTGGAGGAATGGCTTGATCGATAGATGGCTCGAATAGACCTGCTGACAGTTGTTTATACTATGTTAACTGTTAGTAAGGAGCTATACCATAGTGGAAAAAAGACTGGGGACGGAAAAAAAAAAGAGAGAAAATACTGTATAAAGTTTTATATCACTATAATTTTTGTACATTTCATATATTAATTTTTCTACACAAATATTGAGTACAATACTATTTCACACAGTAAAGCATCATTTGACAGTACTAAAAATCTCTCTGTGGTATGCTTATTGTTCTCTGATATTCTTATGCTATCAGTGGTGTGTGCATATTCTACGCCTGTTTGTTATTTCAGTTTAGAATGTGACAATAATTCCCAATTAGTCTCACAAAAATATTCTGACTGTTAATGTCAACTAAATGCCTTTGACACGATCTTTATATATCTACTCATGCAGATTTATTGAGTTCATTAAAGATAAGTTAATAACACAATGACCCTTAAAATTAACATCCTCACATTCTTTGCATAGAGACTGCATTTAGAACCTTCCCAATGAAAGCGTTTACTGAGTACTAAACCGAAAACAGGGATATTGAAATAACATCAAGAAAATATGAAATATTTTAAAGTATTGTTTGACCGCCTTATCCGCGACCATGAGCGTAAACACGCATGCGCCATTCGGATCGAAGTATTCTCAAAATAGGTGGAAGGATAGGGACTTTCTTTCCCTCCAGCATAGCTCATTCCGGAGAAGAGAAGACCTTTCACTTCGCAGCAAGTAATACCGCCCCTTTTGGACGAGTCTATGTGTTTTAGCAGAATGCCAACCAGGGTTGCGCTTAAGACGATCGAATTATAGCATACAAGGGCGTATCCCGAATTTTCATGAACGGCATGCTGTAGAATACCAACTTCTTAAAAATTTACACTAATAAATATAAGTTTCAATCACATGCATGAGAAAGTTAACTATTCTACGTGTTAATTTATTGTTACATTTCGCATAATATGTAAATAATGAAATGCATACATTCACCAAATTTTAATTTCTGATTCGAAATAAAATTGAGTACGCAGTGCAACGCTGTATATTTAAAAAGATAAATAAGGACTTTACAATACGATTGAATTAAAAAATAGCAATTTCTTTTTCCCAGTTTCAAAGTTATGGGCAAACTGACTGCCATACCAAAGAGCCTGGGTTCGAATCCCGAAGAAGACATGGTTGGAACTGGCCATCCTTTCATAGGAGACAAAGGTGGCCCACGTATTAGGTGCCTCCATAATAAAGTGACCATCACTTCTGGCTTTAGTTGTGGCCAAGCTGAAGCTGACTGAGGGCACGCCATTGGGAGAAAAAAAAAAGCTTATAGGCATACGCTGTATGCACCGCATGCCCTAGGATGAAGGTGCTGTTAGCAAATTATAATTACTTAGAGCTAAGTGAAAACACACACATTCTTTATGAAACCGATTTTCCAGTCTGTGATACTCATACACATCTTCTCTGTAGTTTATTTATATTCGGTGATTTATGGAAACGTAGATCCTGACTTTTGGAGTCTTCGAAAGTACACTGTGGCACAAGGCAAACCACACTGTCTTTTCTGTTTAATGCCATTTGAAAAAAATTTACTTTTACACTACTTAAGTACGGATTGCCAGTATTTGCATCGACTATCTACAAATTGTTTTCAGCAGCATTAAGCCAATTTCGCTGATCATCCCAGCCTTATTTTTGTTTTAGTCTCTTTGTTTCCATCAGGGGCTAACATTCCGCAACAAGTCGCAAATAATAAATTCTTCAGAACTTTTTCTGGATTAAAATTCAGTCATTGCGCTACCAGAAACTTTTAGTTTATTTAAAGTAGCTGGAATTCTATATGAATACGCAACCCATACTTTAAAATACACTGGGCATTGCTGTGAGTGAACGATAACAAATATCGGAATGCAAAACAATAGGGCACGAGCAATTTTTTCAGATATTTAACACTTGAATCAATATTAAGGTAATTTAATTTCTCTTCGCTGCCTAGTTGCTCCTTAAAGTTAAAAAAAAAAAAGAATCATGTCCATGCTCTAAAAATAAAGGATAATGCTTATGCTTTATCTATATTCAAGTTAATTATACTCAAGATTAATAAAATACTTTAGTTCAGGATCTTAGGCTGTGTTAAAAACCTTAAATTATATTCTTGGTAGATTCAGGAAGAAGCATTTGTGGAAAAAACGAGGACTGTTTTGGCGTAGAGTTTTACACTATAAAATTCATAATAGTTACTGCAGAAGATTAAGGTGTTTTCCGGTGTTATAAAAGCGTTTTCCTGTGGCAACAAGGCTGCACTTCTTAGTTCCGGCTTACAGAAATGATGCAAAACTCGAAATGTGACCAACGATTTGATCGAGATCAAGTGTTGTATATATACACATATACGGTTTAATTAACTGATTGTTAATGTATTGAGAGTGTGGATATACCGTTCACTCTCGGAAAGCTGGTGGAAATCCGCTAAAACGCTTTTCAGTGCCTCAAATTAGCAAGGGCTTCCTAGGAAAAACGAGTTGTTATCTTTATTTCATTTAGTGCTTTAAAAAAGTTTCGTAGTATTAAAAGTGTTTAGCTTTAAAATGAGTGCAAAAAGTAAGTCCAAATTTAGCTATCAAGATAATTTAAAAATTGCAGAAAGTTTGTTACAAAGTAAAGATGAAGATAACGAAGAACTTGAAAGTATTAGTGATATTGAAGAAGATGTTGTTGAAACGAGAGATGAACATACGGATACCGAGCAAGAGGTTGACTCAAGTGATTCCGAAAGCACCAGTTTCGATGATAAGTATTATATTGGGCGAGATAATGTTTCTATATGGGAAAAGTTTAATTCTGAGTTTAGTCCTGTTTGGGAACAGAATAATGTGGCCTATGTACCTGGTGTTGCAGACAAAGCAAAGCTTGCTAAAACCCCTAAAGAATGTTGGGAGTGCTTCTTTGATGACAAGATACTTTCTATAATTGTTGACTGCACAAACGAGAAAATTTCGGAGAGTCGACTAAACTATAAGCGAGAAAGGGATGCTAGACCAACAGATAAACTTGAAATTAAAGCTTTGCTGGGTATATTGTATGTGTGTGCAGCTAGAAGAGACAATCACACTTCTACTAGAGATATCTGGACGCTTGATAAAACTGGTTTAGAACTATGCCGACTTATCATGTCTGAGAAACGTTTTAGATTTCTTCTGTATTGTTTGAGATTTGATTGCAAAAGTGATCGTGAGGAGAGGAGAAAAATAGACAATTTAGCAGCAGTTAGAGATGTATTTACGTTATTTGTAAAAAATTGCCAAGAATCGTACATCCCTGGAGAATTCTGTACATTAGATGAGAAACTCGAACCTTTTCGAGGAAATTGCCGTTTCAAAGTATTCTTTCCAAATAAACCGTGTAAATATGGCCTTAAGCTGTTTGCTTTAGTTGATACTCATGTGTACTACACAGTGAATCTCGAAGTGTATGCTGGCCAGCAACCTCCAGGTTTATATGATGTAAGTAATAATCCTATTGATGTAGTAAAGCGTCTCAGTTCAATTATTTTGGGCAGTGGACGAAATTTAACACTTGATAGTTGGTTTACTTCTCTTGAAGTAGCCAAATATTTATATAAAAAAAATGTAACAATGGTTGGAAGTATCAATAAAAATAAACCTGAAATTCCTGTAAATTTTACTGTATCGAAGTCCCGACCAGTGGGATCATCTTTATATGGCTTCATGAAGAATTGTACTCTGGTTTCATATGTAACTAGAAAAGATAAAGTTGTATTAGCTCTCTCAACAATGCACCATGATTCAAGCATTGTTCCTTCTTCAGGTGAAAAAGCCAAACCTGAAATTATAGCATTTTATAATGCTACTAAATCTGCTGTAGATACTGTCGATCAAATGTGCAATTCGTATAGTGTTTCTAGAATAACAAGTAGCTGGCCAATGGTTATTTTTTTCAGTATGCTTAATGTGGCAGCTGTGAATGCTCAAATAATTTTCCTGAGCAATAATATGAATGATCGACTAACACGTTGTGGTTTCCTTAAAAATTTAGCACGTAGCCTAGCAGATGATTATTTACGCGTGCGGTCACAATGTACTTCGTTGCCTGGCAGCCTCAAACGGGGCCTGCAGGATCTATTTCAAGAAAAAGAAGAGTCCATTGGGCAAGGAAAAGTCCATTATGCGGAAACGAAACCTGTCATAAAAAGACAAAGGTGCTATGTTTGTCGTGGTTCAAGAAGCAGATTAACTCGGTATAGATGTCGAAATTGTGAAAAATTTCTGTGTTTGCAACATGCTGAGATAATTTGTTCAGACTGTTGATCCTTTTTTTACAGTTAGGTATGCATGATACAATTTTATATCTCTATGTATATGTGTGTGTGTATATATAAATTAAGAAGGGATGCTATGCATTTTATGTCTCAGTGCAGTTTCTGCATATCCTAAATTCTGCCTTATACCTCCATTAATTCTAAAAGTTTAAAATTATAAAAATAATTTACAGTCTCTAAATTCTGCTGCCTCTTGCTTCTAAATTTTGCATTCCTAATTTTTGCTCTTAGTGCTTTTCTAAATTCTAAAATTTTTATCATTTGATAGCAGCAACACTGGCTCTGACGCTGGTTCTGTTAGGGGTTAGCATTCTTCTATTTGCCTTAAACAATAAGAAAAAGGCATATGTTGCCCTATCTATATATCGTCTTAGATTGAAATTGCTGATCTAAAATCCAGAAATTTGCGAGATCTGGAATTGCTGAAATACCAATGATTCCAGATCTCGGACTTTGAACTGTATATGCCCTACCCACTGCTTATTAAAATCGTTTCCGTTCCAAAAATATTTTAGTTAGATAGGCAGCGATTTGTATATTACAAACCATGATATTAGTTTTAAGCTTTTAAAGTAAAATGCATAACTAATGACTAATTTGTTAATTAATCCAAAAATAATAATTGAAAATTAACACTAAACAGTTTATCCAGTTTTTAATTTTTCATGAAAATTATAGTTTGACTTTCTTGGGTAGCATGAAATAATAACAAATTAACTCCTAACAGACATATCTGTTAATAATCAAAACATAATTATTAAAGATTAACACTGGAATTAAATAGTTTACCCAGTTTTTAATTTTTTATAAAAATTATAGTTTGACCTGCTTGGGTAGCATTAACAAGTAACTAATTAATAACAGACTTGAATTATCATTGTGTCTGACGATAATGACAAAGACTTGAGAATATCAAATAATAACTTTTTTATTAAGTCAGAACTTTGAATATAAATGCACTTCTCTCGCACAAGTGACCCAACACGGGATAATAAAACTAAAGTCAAATAGTCAAATTACAGAATTTAAACTTAGTAGTTGAAGAATACGCAGTTTAATTTTAAGTTGGCTCAAAATGTGTTACTGATGTAATAATTAAAAATTTTGAGCAATAACACAAAGCACAAAGAACTGTATTCTTACCAGACCTGATGAAACATCGTAAGATGGCCTCGAGAGGCAGAAACATGCTGTGTCTTACAATCCAAAAACCTCAAAGTAAGTTTTCTCGAGCCAATTTGCATTATGATGAGGAAATGGAAAGGAGAAGTCATAGTAAAGATTTAAATCATAATAACTGGTTAATTAAGATACTAGAAACTATAAAATATTTCTATAATTATATTTTTTGATGAAATGTTATGGCTTAAAACAACTTTTCTATTTATATTTCACGTTTGAATGGCAGTTTTTCGGTTAACTGCATTCTCAGTTTTGTAAAACTACTGATAGCTTTTTTCAACACCTTTCAGTTCAAGAATTTTTCACAGAAATTGCAGTGCTTTTCTAAATTCGATTGATTTGGATTATCATATTTTTTTATCACTTTCAGTGTCAATCTCTGCAGAACACTTTCGTAGTCAGTTTTATTCATTTTGTCACAATATTGTTATGAATTGACATATATTCTAAAAGCGAAGCTTCATAACTTCTCTCACTAATGTTTGAAACATTAGCTACTGTTTGCAGTTTCTCTGATGCTTCTTCTACATAAAAGCCATATTTTCAAAAACAATTTTTAGCTGTGTTTTGAGAGATTATACCCTTGCATTGATTGTAATATGGATTGCCTCTGGAAGAGATATCGACTTACTTGTATTTGAAGTGCTTCCATTTTTGCAAAATCCAGTTCTGTTCATCATTTACTGAACATTTTTCTGCAGTGACATTTGAAGCATTTCTTTAATACTGTAATATTAAAATTGAATGTTAGAAGTTGCATTTCTATATTGATAGACACTAATGTATTTCAGGAAGAGATCAGAGGTGTGTGTGCTGCACAGTTATCTGATTAGTAAAGCTGGTTTTGGTAAAAGTATACTTACGGGTATCCCTTGACGAAAATTGGTGATTTTTTAGTGATACATGGATACTGAGTTTGTACAATTCTTTGATTTGTTATTTTGACTTTATCCATGTGCATGCCAACCTAATTTCACTTTAAAAAACATCAGAGAATTGCACAAACTTGGCATTGCACACTCCCTTGACTTTGTCCATGTACACATTGATATATTTTCACTTAAAAAGTCAAAGGAGCACCCAGTTTTAGGTAAAAGTATATTTACAGAACATTCAAATACTCAAGCTACCATAAATAAAAACAACAACTTTACGATAAACAAAACAGCAACATGACGATAAATGAAACAAGAACTTCGTGATAAATGAAACAACAACTTCGCGGGTTTTTTTCCATTTCGCCGCCAGCGCAAATCTCGCCAAGCAGACTTTATTGGCAACAGCACACATAAAAAATATTAACAAATGTTAAGAAAATTTCATTTTGAAGACATAAGCATTTTAATATGTTTAAAATTTTGTAATAATAAATTTAAAGACAATAAATTTGTAAAAAGACATTAATTTAAGAATTTATTATGCTTTCATGGTACAACATCCTGATTTGCCATTTATATCACGTGACCCTAAGTGATCTCATCTCACTTGCCTGTAAGTGATCTCATTTCACGTAAACTACACTACAAAAATATAATTCTCTGAGTAATTATCTACATTAATTTCAAGTTAAATCTTAATTTGGAATACAAGTTTAAGTGCAAGAATTATTTCAATTCATATGAAAAGCTTACTCAGAAATTATGTAAAACCTCAGTGCTTTACTTCGCTAGTGCATTCTCATTAGAATTCATGAATTTAAACCTTGACTTTGCCTTTTCTATATTTTCACCGAGTGAGTGGTGTGATTTCACCCCAATTGACTTAATTATTGCGAATGGCCTTAGGGCATAAAATTGAACAATCTGAGAAAAACTTGTATGTAATTATATGCAAGTATTGAAAGAAACAATCAATCTGATAAAAAATCACTCGACTTGCTTTGAAAATGAGGCGAAAAAGGTTACCTGCGAGGATATTCTGTTTGGCATTGGTTGTACCATTTTTGGTGACTTTATCGCTTGCGCTGGTAAAATGGAAAAGTATCACTTCACGATAATATAATACAAGGAGTACCCTTCCGTCTACTCTAACCGGTGTTTTTTCAGCTTGCTATCCCCATTTTAAAAAGAAAATCAGTAAAAATACTTTTTATTATCCAGGAATTCTTGTAGCTGTGGTTAAGTTAGAAGTAAGTTCATTACTCATTTCATACACTGAGGTTTTCAGCTTTTCTCAATAACCAGTGTTGTCTTCTTAATTATTGGGTGTGTATTGCACATTCATAACTCAGTAACTTATTCCTTCAGCTTATTAAATGAACTGCTTTTGTTCTGGTTGTTTGTTCTGGTAATGTTCTGTAAAACAGTCCAGTTTCATCCTTATTATAAATTTTGCATGTCATGCATTCATTTAGCAACCTCAGTAAAAGACCTTCTATCAGTAAACATCTGTAGGCAAACACCTTGGTACAGTCTGGCTGTTTTTCCAAGAGAAAAAGAATGATGATTCACAATTGCAAAATATTATCACATACCTACATAATTTTCATTTAAAGGTACTTATCCCTAAAATCAGTCAATAAATTTAGTCACAAGTAAGATTGTTATTGTGATGCAATTCCATGGCCATTACTTTCAGAATAGATAAAGCAGTGTCCCCTTTAGCAAACTACTGTATTCTTGAGGAAATATTACTGCAATATTATTTCCACTGCAGGCAAGTCTCACAAGCACACATTTTAAAATTGAGTTTTCAGAAAAAATAAGAGGTGTGTTTAGAAAATAAAACTGTAGTAAAAAGTGAAAAAAAAGTTTTTATCTAAAAAAAATCATAAATTATTCAAATTTTAATGCTCATCCAAAAAAGCTCTTTTAATGTCGGTAGAAATTATCGATAGAGATAGCTAAGATGGAATAGTGAAACATTTTATAGGATATTGGATGAATATGCATTTGACTAGCATCACTGACAGGTAAAAAAAAATCCTATTATACAAATATGGCCTTGGTGCAATTTTTGAAAATTGTTGCCAACACGAAAATGACTCATTTTACTGCTCATCAAAATGTCTCCAAAAGTCGTCAAATCCCGTGTGTACCCTATACTAGGATTAAACACTGCTAATATTATTTATATTCTGTATATTTAAAAAGTAGAAAATATGTAATTCTTTAGAAATTTTTAATTAGATATACAATTAATGAAATGTATTTTTATTTTAAGCAATCAGATTAAGAATTAATATTCTTAAGAAATTCTTCTAATACTTAAAATTAGTTTAGTTTGTAAGACAGATTAAATATGGAAGAATAATATATTACTTTTTTTGAATGATGACTGAATTACTTGTATATGAAAAGTGAAACAATGCAAAATTGTGCTTCGCGACAGCCCTTTTAGGTTAAAATTATGACGCTTTGTCTGTAATAAACTTTTGGAAAAATTTGGAATAAAACAAATAGACTGCATAAAACAATGACAGTCGTGCTTGTTAAAACTGAAGAAGTATTGTGCACATGGTTGAAGGAATTTGGCACAGAATTTAGTAATTTCTATTAATGAGGTTGCTCTAACATGTAAGTTACCTAATTCTGTCCAAAATTAATTGAGTTATAGAAAAAAGCTCTAGAAGCTTTTTTCTATAACTCAATTTTTTTTTCTAACTAAAAAACAATTTCTGTTTTTCTAACTTTTTTCTTATAGCTTGAAACCATTCTAGAAAAGCAGGTGCTAGGTCTTTCAATTTTCTTTTTTTCATTTCTTCGAGACATTTGCATTTTTTATTAGCTATAAATTAATTATGGAACAGCTCTTATATGCGCCTTCAGGTCTACAAATTTCTCAAGCCTAAAATGTCTCCAAAAATGCGGTTTTCGCATAAGCGAATTTTGAACATGCAATTTAAGCTAAAAATCTGAAACAAAAACAAAAAATTTAGATAGCAAAAACGTAAAGTTTCTAACCAAAAATATTTGACAAGAATCCATATACACAGTGATATGTTCTAACTTAAAAAAAATCTACAAATTGCACAATCTAGGCATCGAAAGAATCTACAAACTACTACGCGCACCTCGCTTTAATAAATTAACACAACAACAATAAATTTTAAAGAATACCATGTACACAGCTTTCTATTTAAACTTAAAAAAAATCTACGAATTGCACAATCTAGGCAGCAAAAGAATGTATGAACTATGCACACCTTGCTTTAATAAATTAACATAACAATAATAAATTTCAAAGAATACCATGTACACAGCATTCTGTTTAAACTTAAAAAAACATCTACGAATTGCACAATCTAGGTATTAAAATAAACTAAAATAAATTACAAACAATTCAAATAACAACAGAAAGTCATAGTAAAAAAAACAATTAACATAACATTCTACAAAATAAAAACAATAAAATAAAATGCACTTACCATAATACATACGTGAATAAAATTTCGGCAGTAACACAACGTCTGTCAACAAAAGTGCCACGATTTTGCTATATCACAAGTCTTTCTGTGATTCAAAATTTCAAAAGTAACGATAAAAACTTCCTCCAAAGTTAATTTACTGCACGAAAACTACAATCCAAAACTTAAACTCCACTGACAGCCACATACTTTAGCAGCAACCATTTGACTGCAAACCCACACAAGTCTATCAAACACCATTCTTTGTCCGACTTCTCATATCAGCTCCGCATTTAGGACACACCAAACTTTGTTTTAAAAGTCCTGACTCCCACAGGAATTCTAAAAATGCACTTTTATCTGCATAAACACACCTGTGAACAAAAGACTCGCAAAATTTACTTTCCACACAATCTAAAATACTCGACTGAAATCTTGCCACCATGTCTCTTAAGTTTCAATGTCAAAAGGATTGCCATACAAACAGCATTATCCACCAAACCATCCCACAGAATGGAATTGCACCAAAAACCAGTACAGAACACATATCACCACATTTGGTGATCTTACGGCGCATATAAGATTAGAGCCTTAATTATAATTGTTTAAGTAAATTGCACAATACTTCTGGGGAAATTTCCAGATTAAGTGTAGTTTTTCTCTGGCTGCAATTAGCAAGAACATTAGAAATCTTTTAAAAATTTACCCATTTCATTCAGATTTAAGTTTTTTCATTTGGCATTGCTTAGCGCTTGTTACAAATTAAGCACATAACAAATATAAAACATGCTTCCAGCGATTTAATAAAATTTCAAAATTTACATTTCCAGCGGAAAGATTAACCGGTTTAATCTTAGTATATGGTAGACATGCGATTTGGCAACATTATGATGAGCAGTAAATGAGTCATCTTGGTGCTGGTGACAGTTTTCAAAATCGTGCCAAGGCCGTACTGTATACTAGGATTTTACCAATTAGCCTTTGTTCTGTTTAATCTTTCTGCATCTTTACAATTACAAGCATGACCATTACTTTTCCTGGTTTTTCTTCAGTCTGCTTACAGTTACCTCTTCCTTTCCATTCAAAGACTCTAAATGTATGTTAATGCCTAGAAGCATTTTCAGAATTGTTTTATATAACTCTGTGTGAACATAATATATCTATTCCAAAGGGAAGATTTTTTAATGTGGAAATCTTAAAAGAATGTATATAGAAGTTGCATTCTCACTTCCTTTCAGCTGCTGTTCAAGAAGGAACTTTTGCTCATTTACAGCATCTTTAGAGGATTCTTTTTGTTAACCTGAAGGTAAAATTCTGCCCCTGTTAAATGCAGGCAAAGAACTCTGAAAACACTGTCTCACCAGGCGCAGGAACCAGGGGGTAAGAAATTTTCGATCAAACCCATTTTATTGAAATATTACATATTTGAATGATAAATCCATGGTTCACAATACATTATATGAATAAACTAGGAAAAGCTCTGGTCGGTACCAATAAGATATTCTAGTACTGAAGAATCAGTCTGTTGCCAATCTGAGTTGAATAAATGGCAGATTTTCTGTTGATTAAGATGTATTTGTTTTGGCTGCTGGAAATCTGAATGTAATAAGTGGCTGAATTTATTAACCAGTAAAAGTTAATAAGCAGTGGGTACTGTACATGTATATTTGCTCAAAAATATTTTCCATGATGCATCCAAGTACACCAATATACATGTTAAACTGAGTGCAGACAATTAAGACAATAAAGTACAAAGTTTTAACATGTAGAATCTTCCAGCAAATGTAAATTTTGGAATTTCTGGTTTTTAGGTAATTGGTTTAAATTTAATAAGATTACACATGGAAATTTTTAAGTTAAAAATATGACAGATTATGTATGAAATTTAAAAAAAAAAAAAAAAAAAAAAGTTTCAATCAAAAAAAAAAAAAAAAAAATGCTGAATGGTAACATTTGTTTTGTTTCATTAAAATTTTAATATAGGTTGTTTAATATTTGCTTTATACATTAGTACTTTTATCTTAATTTTATAGAGTGGCATAGTTTCTTGTTCATTTAAAAAATTCCACTGTTCAGGTCCTGCGGTAGCTGTGTTGAGAATTCCCATTAAATGATCAACTGAAATCCTTTTGCTTTCAATAACAATAATAATATCACTTTCTTCACAAAGGATGGTGATATTTTTTGAATTAAAACTATAACAATGGATGGTGATATTTTTTGGATTATAAAAGCCCTCAGCTGATTGATGACTGACGCATTGTCATTCAGATGAAGGACTTCAGCTAAGTCGTCTTTATTTAGAATTTTTCACATATTTAATTAATCAGAAAATTTTGCTCCCCACTCCTGCCAAAGCCCCTTGGCACTATTTCTGTTTGGCTGTCTGTTTCATTTTCTCAGCACCAATCATCATCAGTTAGGTTTGACTTCTTTACTTACACAACCACATCTTTCATCTAATTGTGATTTCTTTATTCATTTTTTTTTAATATTGAAGTAGATATTTATAATTTGGCGAGAAATGAATAAATGGCTATTCTGTTTCTTCAAGAAATTAGAATTTTTTTATGCAGGCTAAAGACTGCGATTGAATGACCATCTCATGAAATTAAAATGTGGCTCAAAGCCGAAATGTTGATTTTATTTGCCATAAATAAAACATATTCATAATTCAGAGAGAAAATTTATTTTATTATTGCTTTAGAGAATAAGTTAATTGGCACCTTCCAAAATTGTAACCATGACAAACCAGCTTATCAAGAATTAATTGATTTTATATGAAACCAAGTTGAGGATTACCATATTTGACGGCATATAAGATGCATCTTTATTTAGGAGGCCACACACATGTAGATGTAGAAAAAGTTATGTGTGTCTAGACCTTTATCCGGGCTAAAAATAGCATTCAGTATTGAAAGTTAACCTGTTTCCTTCATGTATAAGACGCAGGTAACTTTTTTTGAGACCAAATTTAGGAAAAAAAGTGTGTCATATGCCGTCAAATACGGTATGTGATTATGTTATGATGTCACATTTACCCATTATTGATACTTAATCACATTGTTTGACAATAGTTTTATATAAATGTCTTTTAATGGTCTTATGAGTCTCATTCGCTTAATTGTTCAAGGTGGGAGAAGCTTTTAAAATTCTAAAATATTATGTTTCCTTTAGTTTTTTGATTAGTTACTTGTTGTACTTTAAATTATTCTGAGAAGTTAATAGTTAAATAACCCTAAGGTAACATTGCTATATCTGCTATCACTAGCCTGTTAGTGTTACACGCAAAAACGGACTATTCGGAGAAATCTTTCTTCAAAAATATGCTGGAGCAAGACAGAGGGGTATCTATTCTCATTTTGGAATGAATGAATTTGACCTTTTGTAGTCTGCAAAAGAAAGTTCATGAATGTTAGAAAAATTATCTAATGAAAGGTTGAAAAAATTGCCCAAGGAAATAATAAAAGAAAATCCAGAATTGCTATTCAGTTGGGTAATTGTGAAGTTTATAATTATGTGCCAAATAAGAAAAATGTAGAAAGTATTATTATGCGTCAAATTATTCTCTTCTCAGAGTCTGAATGTGCAGAAGGGTTGAACTAATAAAAATGAACAGAAATTTAGAATTTGTGAATTTTAAGAATTTTTAGATTATTTTGCAACAAAAACACAATTGTTATCTATAACTCATAACAATTCATTATGGTAAATTCATATAAATAAAAATACAATACCTAAGAATATGCACGTCATTACTTTTTTTTATTACTGGAAATGTGATTATTTATTTATATAATTTAAAGAAGTGAGAAATTTTATACACTATTTTACCCAAGTAATCTGTTAATTTTATATAATATTGCATGTACTACGTATGAAGGAATTATGTTAATTATTTTTTATGTTTCAGGAAGGCTGCCTTTATTTAAGGTAAGCTTTTGTAAACACATCACATTATGTATTTGAAAGAGAAATTCCAAACAGGATCAAATTCTGTAATTCAGGTAATGGAAGTGTAGCATAAAATGTTAAATTCCAAGAACCTTAGAGTATGTGCTGTGCAGAATAGCTTTCATTTCCTATTATAGTTGAACAAATTTAATTTTGTGAGTCAAGGAAATAAAAACTGTGTTTTATAATATTCAGATTTATAAACAGAACAGTTTATTCATGAATATTAAATCATTTTTAATATTGTTACAGCAGATGTCTAAGTTTGAAGCATGTAAATAATTATGTAAATTGAAGTACAATGCTTAATGCATTTGGTAATTCAATGTAATTTGTAACATTAAATTACTTAGTCTTCGTTTAACCCATTAGCCGCTGGTGTTGCGTTGACACAACGGTCAAAATAAATGCATATATAAATATAACTACCTAAGATATTTTATACCAGCAGATTATTTTGTGTAGGGAATATTATGAAGATTATTTCTGTAAAAAAATATTTGCTTTCAACAATCATTTTGTTTATAATAATTAATCTCAAACTTTAAGCAAAATTTTTGACCTGGTATTTTTCCTGAAAATATTTAACGAAAGAATTGCCGTCTTTATGAGTGATCTATTTTTAGTCAAGGTCACCGTTTATCAGAACATTACATCAGTCAGATGTCTATATTTGTGTTGGGAAGGAATGGAAAACAGGTGTTGCGTTGACGCAACGTCAGCAGGAAACGGGTAGTCAGGTCTCCTTTTTCACTCATTCCTTTTGTTGTTCTGGTTCATGTTCTGTATGAACGAGGTATAGAACTAGGTACCTAGAACCTAGAACGAAGTATCTTACATTAGAAGACCAAAGATTTTTTTGATGAAGAAACAGATGATGATAATGTTAATAATGACCAGAATGAAACTGATATTGTTGTTGTTCCCCCAGAAATTGCAGAGGCTAGTGACGAAGAAGAAAGGAATGGCTTGTTTTAAATAATGATAATGATATTTTACCAAATGATACTGCTAGGCAAGTTGAAATTAACTTAAGAAGTAAGTTTCAGCCTTCTAAAAAGCAGTTATAGTCATACTAAAAAGTTTAAAAAGCAGAAGACTGAGATCTTGAAGTGGATAAAAAAGGAACTGTTAGTTATGTCTCAGGAAGAACATGAAGAAAGAGATAGAAGAGAAATTATAAAGACAAAACACAAGTAAAACTAGTGCACAGATTTCGATTTTTCTTTTTTGTTTAGACTTTACTCTCTTCTCGTTGAACAGACAAATATATACGCTAAACAAAAAAAAAAAAAAAAAAAAAAAAAAAAAAAAAAGAGCCCAGAATTTATTGCATCTGAAGCCTATATGAAAAGATTTATTGGAATATTATTACTTACAGGATATCATTCTTTACCTCAAGAAAAAATGTATTGGTCTTTTGATAAGGACATTTCTGTTCCTGTTGCAAGGGAATTGATATCACGTTTGCAGTACAGGAATATGAAGCAGAATTTGCATTTGACAATAGTCAAATTGACAGTGCTGATAAATTATATGAGGTGAGACCGTATCTAAACTTACTAATCACAACTTTTTACTACTGAAAATATAAAGTCTCTTTTAGATTCCAGACGTGAGAATGCATTATTCCTTTTGCAAATTCCTATTGAGAGTGTAGAATTAGCCAAAAATAGATCAGCAACAGGAAGACCTAGTAAATTCAGCATTCAAAAACCATTGCATGGAGATGGTAGACATTTTATTGTAAAGTCAGTTGATAACAAAAGACTTTGTTGTAAAGAGTGCCATAGCCAGATAGTTTATAGATGCAAAGTATGTAATGTAGCTTTACATCATGATTCTAATCAAGCTTTTCATGCTTGAATCTTTCAAATGAAATAATATGTATTTGTAAAAGAAATACAATGTATATTTTAGTATTAAATTAATTACAAGTAAAATGATTTGTAGATTTATAAAATGTTATACAGCTAAAAAAAAAATCCTGTGCTCCACTCAAAAGAAACATCACACGAGTACAATCTTACTCTCTAAAAATCCGTAGTCTTATTCCGCTGACGTTGAGTGAACACAACACTCGCTTTTTCCACAGGTAAGAGCATTTTTTTTATTATTTTCAATGTAAATTTATGTTATAAATGCTTAATTTAATATTTGTTATTATTTTCATGAGAAAAGAAACATTCCTTGCTTGTAGTTTTGGCGGTTAATGGGTTAAATATCAGGTAAGTAGGCAATTCAGGATTTCCTTTGTATCATATATTAATTGTAAAAATTTAGATATTCATTTTTGTTATTTATTCATTTAAATATTGCATAAAATTACCAAAAATTTTTTCTTTCAAGCATTGTAAAAAATAATCCTTATTGGAATTTTCCATTCTATCAGTGTTTTATACACAAAAACTTACTTGGAAATAATATCATCCTTTACTTTGATTGATTTAATACTTATAAGAACGCATGCTCATTATAGCAAAGAATGAATGCTCATTATAGCAAAGAATGAATGCTCATTATAGCACATAGGTACACATGCGGTCATTTTTGACTGTATGCATTTTTAATGTTTTTTTAACCTATTTTACTACTTAAAAAATATTGCAAGGTAATAAAGATTATTAAACATGACTGATAATAAATGTATTTCACTTTTGAAACATTTACAAGAGCTGAAAACTTGTTAAAAACCAAACATTGACTTATTATATATTGCTATAATGTAAAGTTCACAACTCCCTCGGCTCCAATCAACTAACTTTGCCAATATCAGAACGTAAAAATGGCCATTTGTCAAATTGACCACTGTATATTTATAGGTGTTAAAAAGTATAAAGAAAGTATATGTATTTGTAATTTAATTTTCAATAAACATGCTGTTAGTAAAAAAAAGTATGTTTTTTATTTAAAACATAATGTATAGGACTTTTCAGAATGCTTCATAAGCTGATTATGTAATAATACTGAATTTAGTATATAGAATAAGCTGCTAAATAACCAAGTTAGATGAATTCTAGTAATGAATGAAGCAATGATTTTGTAATTTTTATTTAAGTAGCATATGCAAATTAAATATGTGCGTAGGTCTATTCTATATCATCTATAATATCATCTTTTTGTCAAAATCTTGACACTCTATTCAGTAGTCATCTTATTACATCTATATTTGATATGAGGATAATTCTGAGATTTTTTAGGTATGCATAGGTTTTTAAAGTTACATTAATGAAATTTCAAGAATGTTCAAAGTAGTCTCCTCCAGAATCGATGCACTTCTGTAGGCAAATTTTCCAAAGATTAAATGCCTCAAGTCAATCATTTCTTGTAATTAATGAAAACAATACATTTATAGCGTCATCAATCTTATCTTCGGAATAAAAATGACGTCCCCATAAGTTTTTTTTTTTTTTTAAATTAAAAAATAGCCAGAAGTCACACCTAGTGAGATTGGGTGAATAGGGTGGATGTTCTATCATTTTATTGTATTTTTGTTCAAGATAGTCAACTGTCAATCTTGCTGAAAGAGAAATTCACTGTCATGGTGGAGCATGAATCCTCTGATATTTACTTCTTGAAGAATTTCTGGAAGACAGTTAGTGATGTACCAGTTAGTTGTGATTGTCTTCTGTCCTTCTAGCATAATGTTTTTGGCCAATCCTGTACTTATGAAGAAAATGATATACATTGCTTTCATGGCATATTATCTTTTCACCATTGTCGACATAGGATTATCTTCAAAGACCCATGCTTTACTTTTTTGACATGTTGGAAGATCAGAAAAAGGTATGGACATTTCATCACCAGTTACAATTTTAGAAATAATGCAGTGGCCACCATCTTAAAGTAATTTAAGGATTTCTTTACTGATTCTGACACGCTTCTCTAGCCCGAGATGGACCTTCATTTCGAAAAGCTAATTGTAGATCTTGAATGCATTCGTTTTGATTTAATCCCACTTTAAAAGCATAGAAAATCATAGTGAGATAAGTTTTTGCATCAACTTCAGTTTTCCTTCTGCCTAAAATTTATTCTACACTAAACTACTTGCAATTGGCTAATAAAAAAATTGTCTGCTAGGCTAAAATAGTACATATTTTCAAATCTAACAATTAATTTTTTTCTGTCACACATCATCTGTGCGTATCTAAAAAATTTCAGATTGACCTGTGCATAGGTCTATTGTATATCACATTTCTATCAAAATCTTGACATGCTATTCGATAGTCATTATTGTCATTATATGTAGATACAGAAGGCAAATTTCTTGACTATGTTGATGAGATATCATCTGTGTTGATAATATGATATTAAGAAGTGTTAATGCCAAAAAGGGAGTTGTTTTATTTAGTGATATTTCTTATTCTTCTGATAGTGCATTATGTTTGTTGCTTATCAAATTATCAAGGTTAGGCAGAACTGCAATTATTTTCATTTCTAAAAATAAGTATGAGCAATTAATAAGTAAATAAGGAAAAGTTCCCCCCCTTTTCATTTTATAAACAGTAAAGTTATGTAATATTTTTTTACACTAGTGTAGATTTTTCTAATCAATTTAGTAAACTTTGATCACAGTCATATCAATAGAAAACTGCCAATTGTGTTTTACTTCTGCATTTTTGAAACAAATGGTAATTTATGTTTTGCTAATAATGTACAAATTTGCATTACTGTAGCTGCAGATTTTTTGTTGTTTTAGTAAAGTTTTAGGAGGTCAGTGGCATCAAAAAACTAAGTGCCGTAACCAGATTTTTAATGTTTTATTAGAGCTTCCATTTCTGAAGTATTAAATATAAAAGATACATACCATGAGATTTAAAAGCTTTTATTTTTGTGTTTTTCTCATGTTGACTGTTTGTGATTATTCAAAAGTAATGCATTTTTACCTGCTGATATTAAACTTCTTGAATAAAGTTTAACTGCAAGGTGCATCCAGAAAATTCTAAGACATATGTTAATACTAATAAACAAATAGTGAAACTGAAAAATTCTTCAAAATAATTATCTCCTATATCTATATATATATTATAGTGCTCGACTGTGTAAGATATTG